AGCTCCCACATCTCCAGGAGAAGGTTGCTGCAATGCTTCATGAAGGTACCAGGAGTCTCCCTGTACAAGGCCAAGCCATTTTAAAGCTCTGTCACAATCACTGCCTGTCTTCGGGAGATGTTTTAACCCCTATCACGTAGGATATTGTTAGTGTCACACAGATAGCTTGCATTTCTTCAACTTTGTTTAGTCCTAAGATTCAAGAAGTCCAAATCACATGTTGTCACTTCCCTCCTCTCTCCCCTGCCATTCCCAACCGTGAGAGCGAGTTAATTGATATGAAAATAACTCCGGGGGCTGTATGGCCTTGAAAAACATAGAGTATTACATTCAGTACCGGCAATTACAGCCTAGGGGATTCAATCACTCAAAAGCTTTGTCTTTTTGCAAGTTCAAGACGTGGGACTGTCATAAAAGGAGAGCTTCTGGAGTAGCAACAAGTACATGCTGGTAGAGAGCATCAAAAGCTGTGCTCAAGAGCATCCCATTATGCTAACTGAACAATATACCACGTTCTCTTGACTCATCTCTACCGTGGTGCTCAACAACTGCAGAGAGAAAGGGGAGGAAAGGGAGTTGCAAAGATTGATCAGGAGACACTCCACTGCAAGAGCAAAGCTTGGGAAGGGTTGAGCCCGCTCCTGCACCCCTCGGCTCAGACACTTCCATCCGACCCTTCCCTCCACATATGGCTGGATGCAGCAGCCGAGGCTCCTGTCTGGGATCACCCAGCAAAACACAAGGACAATGTGGCCACGCTGCCCCGCTGGTGGCTGTGCTTGGCACTGAATTGCTGTGCTTTCTGGAGCTGCTTTCCATAATGAAGTCAGAAGGACACCATCATCTTGCCAGGCTCCCTGCAACCCCAAAGATCAATAACTAATGCTGAACTCCAGATTTTATCTACACTTTGCAAGGGTAACTAAATCACCACCCTCTTTCTTTCTTCGTTCCAATTACTAAATCCTTTCAGGACTGACCCAGTAATTTCCAGCTTATGAAACTTTAGGCAGTGAAGGATGTGATGAAAGTGATCTTCCAGAGTGTTTGGAGAACTTTTGCATGCGGTTTTGCTTCCTGTATAGAAGTGCAGAAGTACAGCAGAGGCTACAGAAACAGAGCAGCACCAACACTTCGTTTCTAAGAAGAAATGGCATTTTAATTAAACTAACCCAGAGACATGTGCCTTGTAAGCGCTACTTCACTGCATTCCACTATTGCAACTAAGCAGCCAAGCTAGAAGGAGAATCCTACTGAGAAGACGCTGCATCCCATCGAAGCGAGGGATTGTTTTACCTATAACACTCCCCAGATTAACCGCTCCTTATTACTATCAAATACAGATTTTAATAATGTTACAGACAGGCATGAACTACAATAGCAGTTTGCCCTGAGTCTTATTTTCCTTAGAGAACACCCACAAATAGCTGGACATTAAGAAAGGCACCAGCGGAGGCAACATCACGATGAGCCTGATGACAGTTTTAATGTTACTGAGGTTACACGCTCCATTGGCAAGGCTCTGAGGTTTATTTTGGGTGGGGTTTCCAAGCAATGATGAGTAGTTTCGAAACCCCTCTTACTACATCTGGTGACATCTGTGTGTTTGCACCTACTAACTGGTGTCGGGCCAGTGCCGTGCGTGCAGCCGGGTTACACGCTACCAGAACATGCACACATGAGTAACACACGTGTGCCAGAATTATGCCAACAGATCTCCCCAGTCTGCTTCCAGGGAATTCATCTCCCCTTGGAGCAGTAGGGAGGGGAACATCAATGCTTTTCCCTTCCCTTGCCCACGCTGATTATTCCAAGCATGGCCTACCTACAGTAAACCACGATGGGTATTTTATCTGCCGGTCCTCTTCACCTTGGCTAAGGTGAAGATACAGACTGCAACCCGCAAGTGGATTTCAGAACTGCCATTAGCACTGCTGCTGCACGCGGCTGCATTTTAAACATGCTTTCCTACACAATCAGAACGGCACCATTTGTAAAATCTGGGCTGATTTTATCAGCCACTGGTGCAGCAGGACTTGCTCCATCACAAGAGCCCACTAGCCAGTGGATTAGCCTGATTAGCCCCAGCTACTGTGCAGAGAAGGAAAAATGGCACTCAGGACCGGCTAAATTCAAGTGTGAAAATGAAGATGACTTTTTACTCTGCCTTTTGCACTTGTTTCTTCCTTCCACCTGGACTTGCAAGGGTAAAGACCTGGGGAGGGGGCTCCAGGCACCCTTGGACCACATGCGCAGGGATAGAGCTGGGTTCAGAGCCTGACTCTGATGGAGCACACTGGAGGTACGGGCAGCATCACCTCTACTCAACAGTATTTGGAGTCTGCTTTTGATTCTCTTGGACTCTTAGTTCCTCCCCCCTTATATGTCACGTAAAGAGATTACGCAAGAATGCTAATACAAAGGGCAATGTTGTGGCTTGCATGTAAACCAGCCTATTAAAATAAAACAATGAAATAAAGTCATAGAATTCCTGGGATAAAAAGGAAGACCTGTTGCCTCTTGTCTCCAACAGACACTGTGGGGAAAAAGCCCTTTTGTGGAGAACATAGAAGGTTCCATGGCAGCTGAAGTGCCCCCACATCTGCAGCCCTCAACTTCAGGAGTTATGGACCATTTCTCCAGACAAGACAGTGCAAAGATGCTCTGGGAAGAGGCATCCATCCTGTGGGGCTGCTCGCTCAGGTTCACAGCTGAGAGCAGGGCTCCCTGCGTCACCCCAGGCTCCCCCCCCCGAGCACAGAAGAGCTGAAGCAGAGCTGTTAGAGCAGAGCTCAGCACTAGCAGAGCAAAAACACAGACGCTTCCTGGTGCCCTGCGCCTTGCAAAGTGCTTACAGCAGCACAGTGCCACCGGCGGGGACAAAGCAGGGATCACCTTGAGGTACACGGGGAGGGGACGAGCATCTTGCCTGCAGGAAGCAAAGGAAGGACTAATGCACGTTGCTCTGTTACTGTCCCTGCAATGAAACCCAGGCAAGCACTACTGGTGGCTACCAGTGAGTCTGGTGGGGAGGAGCAGAGCTCGCTGTGGGCACAGCCAAGAGCCCCAGTGAGAACTAACTCCATGATTTGGGACATTTCAGCAAATGGAGACTTTCTGTCTCTGGAGCAGAGCCCTTATCTGGAGACGAGGGAGCTGCTGCGGCCATCCAGCCCTGCTGATGGGCTACAGGACAGGCTGATGTCCTCCAGGACAAGCCAGCCCTGTGGAGCCCCTGATGCCCTTAGAGAGGGATAGCAAAGACCTGCTCTGTGGGGTGACAGGAGCAGAGACAAGGTTGGGGACTTGGAAAACAGGCTGCAAAAGCCTCATGGAGATGAACACCAGGATGTTTCCAGCCTGATGCACACTGCATGAACTTGCCAGGTTAAGGAATGGTTTCAGAGGGGAAAACAAGGAATACAAACAGGAGCCTTGCTGGAACACATTCATCAGGGCCCAGTCTGCTGAGTACATGTGTTCCTGGGACCAGACCCCCCAGTACCAGAGCCCAGCTGCCCACAGATCACGTCAGAGCAAGGCCGAGGCCCTTGTGCCCTGCACAAAAGCACCACATAACACAGCTTTCAACGCAACAAACAACCCGCCAAGATCCTGAATGGAGAAGGGTATTTATGGCCCGTTTCAGGGTGGTTGCAAAGAGAAGGGTAGAAAATTCCTGGATATAAAAGGAAGTTGCCAGGGGTTGAACTCCACAAAGTACGTAAGGGTTTTGAACACTTGGCTCCTGTTACAAACTGATGGGCACTGCTGGGTCACTTGCCTTCTCTGAAGAGCTTGTCTTTCCAAGCAAGACTTTTGCAGGGTACTCCAATCCCTGACATCAGAGAGGGATCAGTGCCTGGGAAGGAAGTGCTGGAGGGGGGGAATGCTATCCTGGAGGTTCACCCGACTCCCCCAACCATCCACACAACCCAAGTTCCTTGTTAAGGCGAGCCTCAGAGCAGTGAATAATTCACACAGCACTGGGAGCTCAGCTCTTCTGACCCTGCCACAGAGATGAAGATGAGCTGGGCTGCTCCCCTCTCCCACTCCCCATGCTCCCATCGCTGCGGGGCCAGGCACAGGCTCCATAACGCCTCGGAGCAGCCTCTCTAAACAAACAGGCTGCACCCACCACAAGAGAGCAACCACATCTATCAAGAGAGCCCCTCAAAGAGGCCGGAGGGCAAACGACAAACCTCGGGGCTACACGTCCACGCTGTTGCACGGGGGCAGAAGCCACAAGCTGCGCTGGTTTCCTGCACTGCCTCCAAACACACACGTTAGAGCAGGGAGATTGGTGGCATAAAATCAATGTCGTTCAGAGGAAAGGGAAGAGGGGCTCTGAGCCCGTCCCCAGGGCAGTTCTGGTGCCCCTCTGAGAGCCCAGGTACATCTAACCCCATCCCAGACAAACAGAGCGGATGCTGAGCTGCTCTCTGCCTGCAGCGATAACATGAGCTGCTCGCTGAGAGACAGAGGAGCATCATTTATTTCTGCTGAAAGGAATGGCCATAACATTGAAAGTAATCCTCAGCTCATTTTCACTGAGCTGTACAAGCAGTGATGAAACCTTGTCTCTCTTGTGAAATACGGGGAGGGAAATTCCTCTTCTGCAGATCCTGCTTGTTCTGAGCTACCACTGCCAAGAGGACGAGCAGTCGTCAGCTGCAAACCTCCAGCAGAGGGGTTCAGCACCTTAATTTCCTGGTGGCCTTACGGCCAGCTTAACCTAATGACAGCCACCACGGTACAGAGCCCAGCAACTGTCCTCCCAAAGATAAGTCATTAGACTGACCAGAAAAATCAACTCTGAGAAGCAAATCCACACAACACACAGCATTATGTGCCAAACAACCCTTCCTCTGCAGCCCCTGCAGGACACAGGGGTCCAGCACCGCTGGACTGAGGCACCGGGTCATCACGCTGGCAGATTTGGGCTGTGCCCACATGCAGAGGCTGCCCACAGTGTGATGCCTGAGCTCCCACTCTCTTACCTCTATGCCTGTTGGTCGTCTTGTCAAACATAAGCATGGCGTCCTCTACCTGCAAGAGAGAAGGGAGATGTGTGCTTTAACACCTTCACAAAGACAGCAGGCAGACAGGAGGGGAGACAAGGGCAGCAGCAGCCTCAGCTCAGGTTCAAACGATGCATCCGATCTTGTGCTCAGTCAGCTCTTCCTTTTGGGATCTGCTGCTTTCCACCCCCATCCCAGCTGACACTTGATCCCAAAGCAGAAAAGCCAGCACTGAAAGTTCCGCTGCCCTAAAGAACCACATATCTAAGCAGCAATTCCTCCTCTTGACGGTCCCTGGCTATGCCTCACCCCAGCCTTTTTCCCTTTTGCAGGGAGATAAGGAAGGATCAAGAGAGGAACCATGGATGCAAATCAAGCCCATGTCTTCTCCAAATTAGAGCCACTGTCTTGGCTGAGAATTAGGAGGTTACGAGAAGTATGAGCAGGGTAAAACCTGGTCAGGCAAGAAAGGTATTCAGAGGCTTTCAAAAGGCCCTTTGAAAAGCCAGAGGAAAGAGGGGAGAGGGAGGAGGGAGAAGGTTTAATTCGCATCAGGCTTGGCATTTCCACTTCAGAAGAGAGATGACTGATGAAACGTATTGAAGTGCAACCAAATTGCTTTCAACTTTCATTACTATTTGCATGATTTATTCCACCTCCATTTAATCCGTGCAGCCACACCTAACATTTTACACTTATTTTAGAAGGATGTTGTACTGGAGTTTATTTGCCAGCATTATCACATGTTCAAACTGCTGCTCCGAGGCTGCAGGAGCTGGGGCAGGTCCCATCTAAAACGTCCTCATCTAAAACCTGTCTCTGTACTTAACCTTTTCAGAGTGGTTTGCAAAATGGGTTAGCAACAGTCTGAGATGGTGGGGAACAGCATGGCTCCTCGATACCCATCTTGAGCGAGACCTAAAGGTGCTGATGCACTGGAAAATCCAAAGCACATTAAGCACAGAGCTATTTGTCCTGCTGTCCTTCCTCACTCCAAGGAAGAAAACTCACAAGTATGAGCAATACCAGGAGGCAGATAAGGACACAGCTGCCCTTCACCCCGCACCACTGCTTATCTCTGCCCTCGGGGTTCTGTTTGCACAGCAATGTTTACTTTTCATCCTCACAGGTCTTGGCCTCCCTGCATCCCAAAACTACATGCTGTACCTCGTGCAGGTTCCTGCAGCATCGCTGCTTCCTCCGCTTCAGTCCACCCCAGCGTGCCAGCCACACCACTAAGTTCTAACACTCAGCTCTCCCAGTGTAACCTTTCTGCCTCACATCCCAAACCAGAGCCCGCACTGGTCCTGGACACACTGCAGCACAGATCCCCTGCCCAGGAGGTGATGCTGGCTGCAGGCTGGACCCACACTGAAAGGGCTGTCATGAAATGAGGCACGATGCTAACCTCGCTTTAGCATGGCCGTGTCTCAGCCCAAAGTCTCCTGGCAGCCAAGGCTGTGGGGTGCAACACCCTTGGGCTCAGCAGCACCACCATGGATCTGATCTGAACCTCTTGCGCAGCCTCATCCTGCTCCTCCAAGTGCTGCCATGGCGGAAGGGCAGGTCCTGGCACAAGACCAGCACTGGGAGGGATGAGGGGCCCTGGGTACAGTCCCTGGTCACAGCGGGGAGCTGCAGCTTTGTTCACCTCTCCCACCTCCACAACGTGACACGTCCTCTCACCCACCAGACACACGTCCTATGGGCAAACAACGTTCTGTGCCATGTGCACGAGAGCCCTGCTTGCTGGAATGATGATCTTGGCAGAGGGCTTTCTTATGCAAATAAACCCCTATTAGCAGTAACAAGGCAGCCTGCATGGGCTGATCCAGGAGGTTTCCATGCTCTGGCTGGGACCACAGGCACGCGGGTACCCTGGAGATGGGCATTTCATCCCCCAGACCTGCTTCTGGGATCAGAACCAGACACGCAGCTACCTTGGAAAGGGTCAGCCCCACCACCCGTTCAAACCTGAAAGCCTGCAAAGGGGAGAAGCGGCTCCGCAGCTGAGCTTCAGATGTGGACCAAGCCTATCTTTAAGAAAGAATAATCAGTGGGGTGTTCTTTAAGCCAGCTGGTGCCCTTTCAACAATGTCTAATTGGTTATCTTTTCTGTTTCCTAAGGTCAGAACATTTTATCTCCGTCTCTGCCCTTTCGGAGCCTACCCCACCCTGCGTTATTTTTTAGGGCAGGCATTGTAGCAGAAGAATAGCCTCTTGCCTCCACAGTCCGCGGACACAATGAGACTTCTTGAAACCTCCTGAATAGAGACAGTGCAACAGCAAAGGGAAAATTCTATTAAGGCTTTGCAAAATAAAACATCTGAGAGCGGCTTGGACAAGGGAGAGGGAAATCAATGCGAGGGGGCAGCGCGCACGGAGAACTTTTCCCCAGTCGCAAAAAGGTGGTGAGGGGATGGGAGGGAGGGGGCAGAAAGAGGCTTATTAATGCAGAAAGCCCATCAACGGCATGGAAATCTGGCAGAACAGCAAGAACTGAAACTGGGAGAATTTGAATATACAAAGGGCTGAATAGAATGAGAAACCCCCAGCGCCTCACACACACAGCCCGTTTCTCACGGGTCTCCGTGAATCAAACACAAGCGGCTTGTTCAAGTCTGCATCAAGGAGAACTAAGGGACGCAGCCAAGGTAACCGGCAGTAAACCCTGTAGTAAGCAAATTGAGCCCTGTTTCGGGGGAAGGAGGGGGACACAAACCAACCCGCAGATGAAACTCAAGTACACTGAGGAGCTGCGAGCGCCCAAACGTTAACCCTCCCCTCCAACCAGCGTTTGGATGCAAAGGGCCAGGTCTCAACTCAACACATTCAACCTGGATTACACAAAGAGAAGCTCTTCCTGGGTTAAAACAGGGCTGGGAGATGCAGTTGCCACCTCTGAGGCTTGGCTGGTCACCCACTAGCACTGACCCCAGCTACCAGCCACTGCAGTGGCTCCTGTGAGCGCGTTCTCTGGGCACGGTGAAGAACAGCACACCAAAGAGCTGGGGTCCATCCGCACAGACGCTGAGCCATCAGAAATGTACATCTTTTAGATGCAGCATGGCTCAATATGGAGGCTCAAAGGAGCTCATGAATCTGAGCTAGTCCTGGGCAGGAGAATGTGTTATACAATGAACAGTCTCAGCACATAAGGTAAATAAAATAAAGGCAATGAAGACTTGCCAGATAATACCAGTTACAAACAGATACTTAAGCCCAACAGACTCCTCTATCCCAGCATACCCTTTACATACATCCAATTTAGACCCAGTTTCTTACACAAAGCCTAACTAATGGGCTTTAGTTTATTTAACTTTTCTTTTTCAACCCACTTGGGTCTCTGAGCTAAGGAAGGGCTGCACCACTTCATTACTCACTGCCTGGAAGGAGGAACAGGGGAGAATAGGAGGAAAGAAAAAAACCTGGAGGAGCCAAAGGCTTTAATAATCCTAACAGTTCCCAGGGTTATTTAAAATATGCCCAGCCAGTTCACAAAAGGCTCCACAGAGATAAATGTATTTGATTTTCTTCCACTTTAATGGAGGTGTGCATTTAAAGCAACAAAACCAGGGTGACCTAAATAAAATGACCATTAATTGTACCCAGAAAGGCTCTGAATTTAATGCAACTGATCTGGCGCGGCACAAGAACACACAATATTCTCCATTCATTCCTCCCACTTCCCTCTTCAGGGTTTTCAGCTCCTCTTTTCCACAGGGCAGCCCGGAGCCATCAGCGAGGATCAAACCTGCTCGCACTGTAATGACCAGGCTGAGTGCCCTGTGAGGACCAGCAGGGACTCACAGGGCCTCTGGAGGACAGACACAGAGCAAGGGCAGATTCCAGACCGCTGGAATGGCTAAACCACGATGTTTCCTGGTTGTATTTCTACAGCCATGTGATGGAGCAGCAAACCCAAGAGGTGCCCCATGTACATGCAGCTTGTAAAGGCAATGGTCATTTACAAGGTGCTGCACGCCCTAGGAGCAACAACAGCCACCACTTCACACCTCCAAGCTCTTGTTTTGGTATTTGAACCAGGTTTACTCACTGAGTAAACCCTCCACAGGGAAGCCACTGTAACTACACCGGCTTTCTGCATGCCTCACACTCTGCACCCAGCTCAGGAAAGACCTTCCTGACCCAAACCCTGAGTTTCTGACACATCCAGGGCAGGTTGAGAGACTCCTGCGTTTGCTCAGGTGTCCCCTCAACGCTCCCAAGCAGGTTTGGTGCTACCGCTCTCCATCCCTTCAACACGAAGAAGAATTAGGGCAGACAAATGAAGGAACACGCTGCTGTCAAACACTGTGGCAACTCGGATTGGGCCCCAGGAGAACAGAAAGCCCCCAAGGACGACACTGAGCTGCACACAGCTGGGCTGCTCCCATCCCCTCTGATCCCTGGCTTGTGAACTTTACAGGTCTATCCCTTCTGCTCTCCCAGGAAAAGAGTGCTGGATAGCCTGGTCTAACTCCTCAAATCCTTTATACACACGGCACAACCCCTCCACTGTTTTGCTTTCTGAAGCTGAAAACCTCTGAGCTGTTTGTCAGCAACCTCTCAGGTGCTGTTACTCGAAACGCACGTGTTAAATCCAAGCACCAGCAACGTGCTCCTGCGGATTTACAGCCTCCCCTCCACAGGAATTAAGACAAATGCACACCCTGCACCAGCCAGGCAAGAGAAGATGGTTCCAGCAAGCTTCTGGGTGTCATCACAGGGGAATCAAACAAAGCAACAAACGCTTTAACCTTTCCCCCTCCTCTCTGTCAAGCTGCTATTCCCATCACGGCTCCTCATCTGAAGGCACCCACAGCATCCTCATCACCATCCATTGCCCTTCATCCCACACACAGCACGGTCCCTCGCGGAGCATTCCCAGTGTTCCACAGTGACAACTTACCAACCGAGGCCCGACATATTATGCACCATGACAATAATCAATGCCATACTGTGCAAGAACAAATTCCAGTGCTAGCAATATTTTCCCCCCAGCAGTCGAGGCTTTAAAAAGTCTTC